AACAAACAAACCGACGACTGCAGTTTCTTATCGGCACCATGGCCTCTGCGGGCAACGGTGGTCGGCCAGTTATCGACCACGTTCGCCGCTGCTCGTCGGTCTGCTCTGCTTCACCATCCCTTTAAGCGTAGTGGAGTGCTGACGTTCGATTGTGTACAAAGTAGTCAACTATTAGCGGAGTTTTGGTTTTGGCGGTGCTGTTTTCTAACCCAGTAGTCTCGAAATTAGTTCGAATAATCCATATAATTATTAGCAGCGAAATTATCCGCCGTTTTTTCATGCTCATGGCTTTTTGATTTTTGCCGATTATTTCCGGAGTTTATGATAATCTGAGAGCGATTTTTGTTTGCTAACTACGGAGCCTACACACGAGCAAAAAAGGCTGATTATGCTACATGAGTACAAGTTGAGCTCGAAACCGAATGTTGCTGCATCTGCTCGTGAAAGTCAACGAATGCTGGGAAGGCACGGTTGCAGAAAGGAGTGTTTGAGATGTTTGTAGATTAACCATTTGTTCTTTTTGTCTGGTTTGTGAAATGAAAACGGCGGATAATTTCTGTTCAACCTCTCAAAAAGGACCTTTAGCTTGTCTATTTTGTGGGTTTGGGCTGTCGCTATAGTTAAGATCTTTTTTCAGGAGGTCAAAGTAAACTCAAGCTTATACTTTTGATTGTCGCTATCCCCAACTTTTGAGCAATTAAACGCTCTGATTGTGAAAAATATGGGAGCCTACCTGATGACTGATTGTTTTTCTCAAAGATAACTGTGTGTAAAGTGACCCCCACGATCGAAGTAACAATCTTTCTAACTATTCACTTGAGCGAGTCGGGAGGGGGGAAGGGAAGGGAGGGGATCGTGCGGCATCTTGGTGCAATAATTCACGTGGGCAAGAAAAATTCCAACTTTTCGCAATGAGTCCTCTGCAAAGAATGCCACACGAGCTTCTTTTCCACACCATTTTTTATTGATTTTTCAAAATCTTGTACAATATTTGGTACATGCTGAGAAACATTTCGAGTCTCATGACTAAGAATTTTCGGTGGAAGATGCTCTGGAATAGATGAACAGATTTGTTTGTTTTCAAAAGCTTTTCATTTTGTGAGGCGACGTGCATC